CTCAGTAGGAAAGAATGAACCTGGGGCTGAGTGCCACAGAGAGCATAGAAATAGAAGAGTATGTCTATTTATGGGATGTATTGACAATACGAAGTACAGAATAACACCAGCCTTATCTTCTATCTTAAAGTTGGCAAGACAATCTGACCACAAGTTCCATTTAGTTGTTCTTGAGCACAATGTGTATTAATCTGCCACAAAGAATAGTCCCCATTAAATACACAAATTCTGGTATGTTTGCTAAAACAGGGTCAAGCAGCAAATTATTTATCCTTTTTGAAAAATGAAAGTATATATTTGTTACTTGTTTTTAAAGATTTATGTCAGTAGGAACTTGGGCTGAGTGCCACAGACAAGGTAGAGGGGAGTCAGAAAGGAATTTATGCAATTTGTTGACAATAACAACAATATATCTTATCTTTTGAGTATACATTTCTTCAAATTGCCAATTTATGTAAATGTAATAATCTGATCCACATACCACAAACTTTTGAGCAACAAAAAAAGCATTATTGGAATGGGCCGATGACTTCCTTGGTGTGTTTGGATTAGCTGACATGATTTGTTGCATCTCAATGACCTCCCAAATCTTTGACCGCTCTCTACAGCCTTTCTTTATCTGGTGTCAAAGGTCAACAGCCAGTGGTCAGTGCTGTCCATCACAGGCCAGACGGTAGTCGCTCAGACCACAGACTGAAACTTAAACAAACACTATCACCGCTGGCCGCTGTGCAGTTTTTAGTGTTGTGTGTGAACAAGGTTATTAATTACAAATAACTCAACACCACCTTGAGCACTGGGGTGACTCCTAAAATGATCATACATTTAAATGTGTTACACACAACAGAGAAAGTGTCCCAGACACATAAACATCACAAGGGTTTGACTAAGAAGCTGTTTTCTCTGTAATAATGCCAGCTCCCAGGCTGCTCTGTTTACTCACATTGGTGGTAAGTTTCCCTTTTGTCTGGCTGAGGAACAAGCTTTCCCACACAGACGAAGCATGAAAGGGCATGAGGGCACTTTTTTTTACCTGTCTAATTAGTTACTCTCAGAAGTCTGTGTGAGTCATCTGAGAGGAGGGAGTCATGACACTGCTTGCACAATGCAGCTCATATGCACCACCGCAGGTACGCACATGCATACAAACAGATACATGGTGGTTTCAAGTGTTACGATGATATGATACGATTAAATGTAACTCTGTTACAGTAGTTCAAACATGTCCTGTTGTCAATACATTCTCTTTGAGGTCAAACTCTGGGGGAGCTGTAAAGTTTCTGGCAGTGTCTTTGAAACTAACTCAAAATGTTGTTTTAACATTTTAAGAAATCCTATTGTCTCATCGAGCTGGGCACCAAAAGGAAATCACTAAATTTAAGTTTGGCTGTAAGTGTTTGCTGGCACAGAGCTGCATCGTTCAAAGCAGCTTTAAAGGCAATGTTGTTCCGTGGAACACCCATCTGACATCCATCTAACTCTGAGCAGACTGTTCCCAAAGGAGGGCAGTAAAACAAGTGAAATCGAAAGAAACGGCCGCTGTCATTCAGCCTGGTGGCCTAATATAGATCATCAAGACTGATGATATTCTTACAGTTAAGCCAGAAACAACATGAAATAGAGGAACTAAGATCTGTATGCAGACAATAGGCATGTGAGGGAAATTTGCAACCACACACATACATTAACACACTTCGAAAAATGTTGCAACTCCAACTTTGGATATTTTCATGCTTTAACAAATTGATCAATTTCTACAAAAACTTCTTGGCCTTATACCAAAAGGTATAAAATCAAAGAATAAGGTTGCCATTATTCTATATTCTTTGTATTGTGAAAACACCCAATAAAAAGATCAACACCAACAGTGTGTTAGTTCCTCTCTCAGTAGCCTAATTATATTATATATTATAATATATACCGTTTTTTTACGAAAAGCGAAGAAGTAATTTCCTCAAACTGCTTGGCACTGTAGTTTTTTTGCAAAAGTTACAAAAGAATATTACATTTTCAGGGTTGTTTCTGATGAGCTGTTGGCACCTTGCATGTGTATGAATGAGTGTATGAAGTGTATGAATGAGTGTGAATGACTACGTAAGTGCAGTCCATTTACCATTCACTAATTTATTTTCTTCTTACTTTAACTTTTCAGCTGAGGATTAATATGCGAGTATTTCCAGCAGGAGGACTGTGTGAATGTGGGTCTGACTCAAAATAAACTACAATGCCCATGTTCATGGTAATAAAAGAAAGGAAAGAGAGGAAAGGAAAAGGTCATCCAGTGCAACAGTGAGACTCATTGATGTATTTTTAAAATTGTAAGCATAATAAATTCATTGTTGGTTTTGATATATTCAAGGTTAATAGTTAAAAAAGGAAAATATAGAATATCACTAAGTTTATACTTTAAAAGAAATTAAAAGAAACCTGTTATTCAAGTTACAGATGGTGACTTTTTTAAATACAAGTCTCAATTCTGTTGTGATAGGTGGGAAAAGTATAATAAATAAAAAAAACAATAATGGTAGCTATGATGAGAGGGATTTTATGGCCCTCAAAGGACTGCTGGGAAATGTTGTGTTTTTCCATGCTTTATCTGTCCTTGGAAACATAAGCTGTACACATACACGTGGTGTGCTCTGGGGAGATTCAGATGGATCGCTATATATCACTCCTGTGAGTTTAAGGAAGTATGTGTGTGTGGGATTGCATGAGTTACTGTACTGCATAGTCATCAGGGAGTGAGGGGAATGTAATCTGAAGGAACAGCTAGGGACCACGTCATATCCAAGTCAAGTGTAACAACCTCCACACACACACACACACACACACACACACACACACACACACACACACACACACACACACACACACACACACATGCACACCTGCAGGACCCGAGGACAGCAGGGCCCAGTGATATATTAAGTGCTGTGATTTCACAGACTTCACAGACACACAGGTAAACTGTCCCTGGACACTAATCCTGTGCAGGTGTGTGTGTGAGAGAGAGTACATACATGAAAGTGTAATGGTGTTTCATTATGTGGATTTAGAGTCTATAAAGTGTAATAATCTAGTGACTCCCAGCGCTTGCTATAAAAACCAAAAAAGCAGACACGAGAGTGCCCAGTTTACTTTTTATGGCCATGGGAGGGACCTCTGCAGCTAGAGCCAGACGGGGGGTTGGTATATATCTTAAAACTCACTTTAAGAGCGGACTTCCCCCCCAGATCATTACAGTTTTAAACACTAAAGGAATGATAAGAAAAGAAAAAAATTATAGGGCTACCCCAGTGGATGAGCTCATCGGTCATTATAGAGTCACTATAAAGTCTATAAATCACAGCTCAAATATCAACACAATGCTCCTCTGTGGGAGTTTTACTACTCTGTAAAAGGATTATATGTTTAATAATGTCTCCAAGCAGATGACAAGGACAGTGAGATACAGAAAGAGAGAGGAAACAGAATGCCTGAGCCCTTTACCTACCTCTAGTCATAACATCACTTCTCTGTCTTCACACACCAGTGGTCTCAGTATTCTGCCACTAGCCTGCATCAGATTTCTTATCTAGGTTACTCTTCCTCAACAGCAAACATAAACAAGGCAGAACATGCATTTACTGTTGCATGACACTGTCATGGAGCTTAACACTGAATAGGACTTATGTGGGAATATGACAAATTGTATTTAGATTCTTGTAAACCGTGGGCACAACTTCCTTAACCAGAAACAGAACTTTAACATGCTTAGACTGGTCAGAGCTGCAAATGGAATAAACTACAGTGACACCAAATGTAGCACTGAAAAGTAAGAAACAACAGCGATATAAAAATACTCCATAACATGTAAATATCAAGCATTCAGATTGTATTAAATTAATAGTCAGAGTCTGATTATGATATATTATTATGTATTAAAATATTGGAATATTACTAGTGATGCAAACTAAAGGTGGTGCTAATCTGACACTGAAAAGTAAGATAAATGTAGTGGAGTCAGAGTAAAATATTCATATACTTAAGAGTAAATATCCTTAAAGGGCAATTCGGTTTAGAGACAGTAGTCAAACAGAACACCATGAATAAAACAACCACAATAATTTAAAAAAATATGCAAGGTCCCTTGTCAGTAAATGGAAAATGGACTGCACTTATGCAGTAAAAATACTTTACTTGTTGTTGGGTAGATTAAACTATAACAACCGATGATATTTTCCAAGTTGATCCTAATCACTAACTATAGTGTGAAAATTATAACATACACCTCTGAAATATAGTGAACTATTAGTATGAAGAGACAGAAAATAGAGGTACTCAAGTACAAGGGCTCCAAATAATAAGTATTAAAATAATATAATAATATATATTACATCATACATAAGTTACATTATACAAATGACATTCTGTTTAAAAAGAAAAATGGGGAAATAAAGTATCTCTAGCCTGTTACTGTACTAAGGACATAAACAGCCACCTTGGTGGAAGCAAATTAATGTTGCTGTATAAATGTTGAAGTTCAATATAATCTTCTTTGACCCATTATAGATTATAATTGATACACCCAGTCCACTGTTGAGATATACATGTTATGCTACTCCCATTTCAGAGGGAAATATTGTACATTTTACTTCACTACATTTATCTGACAGCTTTAGTTACCAATTACTTTTCAGATGTACATACCTTACTAAACATATGATCAGTTTATAAAGAAATTTCCTTTGTTCAGGTTTAAAAAGTGTATTAGAAAGTAGTTAAAATTAGCTCCACCTTGACCAGCTACAACATTTTAGCTTCCATATGAATGCATCTGAATACTCCAACCACCACTGCCAGTCAACAGATCATAGCTGTTGTGTATGTTGTGTATGTTGTGTATGTTGTGTGCAGTGTGTGCAGTGTGTGCAGCAACAGCGTCCTCTGCTGTCACAGCGGTACGTCAACGTAGAGACGTCACCCCGCCAGCGCTCTTCTCCTATTGGCCGCTTTCGGCCATGTGACCAAAACAGAATCATGGCGGCCTCCGCTGCTGTCCGGTCGAGCATGGGGCTGACTTTCAGACTTTCTCGAGTTATACCGGACTGTAGCACATGTCCTCTCAACAGGCTAAAGAGCTGTGTGAGCAGCGTGGCTAATGTGCAGAGGAGGGGGTCCTTTGATAGCTTCCGGACGATAAATCGACACTTGCAGACAAGTATAGGTGAGTGGGGCAGCTTGCTAACACCTTTAGCCTCAGTCAGAGGAAGGGTCTTCTCTCGGGACTATTTGTTTACGGTACGCGGTAATGAGTTGTCTTTTATCCAGAGTGGATAGTTATGTTATTGTTGATGCCAGCAAAGCTCGACTTACAGGTGGTCGAAAGATATCAGACGCTGTTAGAGTCGAAAGCTCGCTCAATGACACTTGTGTAACTTCACTTCAACAATCCCAGATTATGAAACTTTGGGCAACAAGTCAAACATTGCCCTCGTGGTCTGGAGTTGCTCATATCGCCACTGACAGCAGAAACATTCACACTTCTGTTGTTCGTGCCTCTTTTTTCTAAAGGTCTTTACCAAAGTGAGGAGGGGAGCTCCAATGCAGAGGACCCAGAGGATGTGTAAGTTCACTGGGGGCTTTTATTGTGAATTGATGGGGTGTTTTCAGTGGGTATTAATCAATGCACACATTATACTTTTAATAACAGCAGCACTGCTACTACAGGTACAGCTACGACTAGTCCAAGTCAGTGGAGGGGACTAATCTTTAGGGGAAAGATAGCTTCATTTATTTTGCCAAGTCATGCTGAACTTGCATTTATTTATTTATTTATTTAATTTTTGCACTCTGATCACATCCTGAACATAGACTGAACTTAAATAGTACTCTTAACCAGCAGCCTATATAGTATGCGTATGCAGCATTTGAGAGACACATTGTCTACAAAAATGATTAATTTGATGGTGTGCATTAATTAAATAAAAAGTAAAACATTTTAGTACAACATTTGTGGCTGGGTTGTCCATTAATTGTGGTTCGAATCCTCCTATACACAGATAGCAGGAGAATTTTAAAGCTCTTAAGCTTACTAAGGATGAAAAGTTCTGTGTAAGAATAGTCTATTTACAAAATAACTTATAGTAAAAACATGTGCACATAATATCACAATAATTGACACCCATTGGGCTCTGTGACAGAGGATCTATGGACACACACCACACAGGACCATAAAAACTACTAATTTTTCCCTCCTCACACCAGGTTAGAGCAGGGAGCAGTATCAGGACTTACAATAACAACACCACATGTATCTAAACTTGTTGGAAAATGACCAATGGGTAGCATTACTCAGTTGGACAGAAACTTGATGGAGGCTTGAATTTAGGCTTCTCATTAAGTATCAGCTGTGTGTAGCTAAGGTAAACAGTCACAGTCCAAAAGGTGTCATATAACCACTATGTCCTATGACTCTGACTTTTAGCCCACATTCTAACACTATGTACTGTATGTATTTTTTGCATCTTAAGTTTTGTGAAATTATTGGTTTGAATGTAGGAGTTTCTTCTTGTGTGATCAGAAATTGTTTTTGTCAGTATATTGTTCAAACTCAAGCACTTCCCTCAACTTGGAACATGCTGTTGCTTGAACTGCCTTTATTGTTTAGACAATAAAAAAGGCAGAATGGTGAAAGAGGGTTAGGGTCAAAAACACAGAAATATATGATTGTTGATAAAGCTCAATTAACTTTGAACTATCTGGTGTTTAGGGTGAATGTGGTGTATATAGATCGGTCTGGCCAGAGGATCCCAATTAAGGCCAAAGTGGGAGATAATGTCCTCTACCTGGCTCACAAGCATGGAATTGACCTGGAAGGTGAGCATTTACACAGTTACTAAAGCAGTTTACTAAAGCATGGTTTTAAGATGATTATTGATCATTATTTGTCTTTCATTTAGGAGCCTGTGAAGCATCACTGGCTTGCTCAACATGTCAGGTGTACGTGAGTGACGCCCATTTCGACAAACTACCAGAACCTGAGGAGAGGTAGGTCTGCTACAAATAATATTTTTCTTAACAACAACATTCGAATGACGTCAAATGTGTGCGATGAGGATGAAAGAGAGATCAATGTAAATGTTGACACATATCTTGGTGCTTTAGGGAGGACGACATGCTGGACATGGCACCCATGCTTCAGGAGAATTCCCGACTGGGATGCCAGATCGTTCTCACTCCAGAGCTTGACGGCATTGAGTTAACCTTGCCCAAAGTCACTAGGAACTTCTACGTGGATGGGCATGTGCCCAAACCTCATTGAGAAGAGGTGCAGATTATGAAGAGGGGGATTGGAGGAGAATGAGAGGGTGTCTCTGCACTGCTCCTTGATTGAGAGGGGGGGGCAATGATGAAGAGATGCACGGCTAGGATAGCAAAGTCCGTAGCAACTCCAAGATGTCTTGCCGACTGACAAATTCCACAGTTAACCAATGACAAGACAGGCCTGCAGATGAAATCAGGCAGTCAGACACTATACAAATTTCACTGGAGGTGAAATGAATGGTTACTTCAAAAAAAACAACTGAACTGACAATGTATTTATTTGTGTGGAACATTCTCAGGCCAGCATTACGACACCATTCAATCTCACAAACTGTTCTTTGTTAAAACACCAGACAATTTGTTTGTTTTATACATTGCAGAGCAAATTTTTAACAAAGTTCATCTTTGTGCAGTTTAATGGAACATTCCTTGTTACAGCTCATATACGCACAAGTATCACAAGTTGAGTCATTTTTGCCAGTCTATCATTGCCACCCTGATTCACTTGTCAGATAGGGCATGCATAACATTTCCTTTCATTTTTATTTACCAAGTTCATTTGTAGGTGTTGTGCTGGCTTATCAGTAAGTACTTACCCACTGTCTGTGGTTAGACTGAAGTCACAAACCTAATAGTGTTCCTCTGCATGGAACTGAAGCCAGAAACAGAAAAAGAAGAAGAAGCCATATAATGAAGTGTTTTTGAAAGAGAAAATTTGCCTGAAGCTTAAAGGATGGGCTTCTAAATATAATAGATAATAGTAACTCAGTTTCACAAGTCTAAACTATTGCATTGTATTCAGTATAAACATTTCAAAACATTCAGGTGAGTTGTGTTTCAAGCCTCAGATGGAAAATGCAAGGTTTGATTAGTTGATCTGGTTCAGGTGCTTAGCATGATGGAGGTAGAGAGCAGAGTCAGGCTTCATGTTACCATGGAAGGAGTTCACCACATCTATCCTTTACTTGTCAAGTCTAGCTACTGTACTTTTTCAATTTACGCACAAATGTAAAAAAAAAAAAAGTGAATTATGTATGTCTTAGAAACTACAAATATTTAAAGTTGTGCAATAAAACAGGTTTTAAAAAGTCATTTTTTGAACACTACTCATTACTCATCAACTTTAAACACTAAGCATAAGGACTCAGAGGGGACAAAATGAAGTTGCCTCTGTTTTATCCAAATATACCAATAGTTCATTGCATGATTAGCAGGCGGCCAGTGTTGCTAAAAATCGACACCTTTACCTAGCAAATATGTAAACGTGCATTTGAGTTGTCACAAAAAGCAGTTTGCAGCAGCTACCAAGTGGCACTGGAACACAGTGGGCAGCACTTTTATTCACCACTGCTGTAATCTAGCAAACCAAAAACACCCGCGCAACTCCTCCTCCTGGTCCACAGCACCACCCAGTCATAGCAACCAGCTCCATCGGTCTGAGTTCCCAGTAAATTGGCACACTTCATCAGTTAGCTGATGATCGACTTGGAGATCAAAGGTGAGCATCAGGTTGACAAAGGTGGACTGTAGCCTATACATTAATTTTTTAAAAACCAAGTTTGTAGTTGTTTTGTTCAGGCCCAAATGATGCAGTTAGCCATAGAGGCCATGACAGGTCAAAGGTGTGTGAATACAGGGCCCTTTGTAAGATCACAGTTAATGGATCAGAATATGCGATCATTTAACTTACATGCGGACTAAAGCGAGCTCTGGTAGATCTACATAAAACTACAAGGAAGGGAACCGTATGCGTCATAATGCCCATAGAGTTAAAACATTAGATCAAACCAGTAGCTCAAAACGTCTACCGGTTTCCGTAGGTCTATATAGGCCATTGAACTGCCCATCAGTCCATTTATGAGTGAAGTCATAGTCAGCTAATACAATATAGAGGAGAATAAAGGTGGAAGAATACAACTTCCGGCACGGTTAAAGTGATTGTCAATATTAATATTGTGTCAGTATCCATGCGACTTGCCTCTGCGCTCGTGACAGTCAAACTCAGACAACCGCGAAAAAAATCTACCGTTCTGGAACGCAAATGCTACATTTGTGTTCTGGAACACATTTGAACTGCATTGTTAGTTCGACTTCTTGTTACATTTCTTCCGGTGAGTTAAATAAGTAACAATTTAATTAAGTCGTTTTTATTAAAGTAGGCGGTTTCACGTCATATATGCTTTTCAAGGAAAATGACACCGCGACCATATGATGCATTTGAATAGGCTGAATCTCATTAGCTCTTGTAGGCTAATACAATGTCAGCCTAGTTAAACATTTTAATAAACTGTCCTAAAGTTCATTTTTGTTAGCCTAACATCACTGTCACTGTTGTCCACAGTTTGGAAACAAAAATGTTAAACACTGCAGTAGACCAAGCTTATCCGCTGCCACTGTGCTGTCTGCATACAGTAGCTTATGTATCTTAATTATAGAAGTTATGGATATGAATATGAATCAGATTGTGTAATATTCTTTGTTGGACAATTGTTTGAAATCCCATTCAGCCTCTAGAATAGTGGTTCCCAACCTTTTTAGCTTAAAGCAATATTTATTTTCCACTATCAGTCGATGTCTATGAGTTGTGAGCAGTTCAGCTGAAGAGCCATCAGACTTCTAGAGAAATGTCTAAAAAGAAACACATAGTTTGATTTTATTACTTCCTACTTCGGTAATCAACCCCTTGAGGCAGCCGACCCCCAGGATGAGAACTACTGATCTAAAAGCTGTTTGTTTCGTATTTGTGACGCAGACGTTGCCTCAAGATGAGCACAGGATCGAGGACACAAGCTACCTTCATCCAGGGAAACCAGAGCACAACAGAACACGATGCCTCCCACTCAGCACTCTTTTACCTTTGCCAAGAAGTTTCCAAGCTAGCCTCCCCCATCCACAACAGTTTCCTGGACACAAATACTCCCTTCGTGTGTCTAAACGAGACTTCTCGGCAAGATACTTTCATAGTTAAAAAAGAGGAAGAGGATACACATTCATTACAAGTCTCTAGTAGTTCCTGCCAGCAGAGTTTGTCTCGTATGTTGCCTTATAATCAGATGAAAAAGCTGAAGGAGGACAGTCACAGCAGCAAGGGCACAACTTTGGTTGAGCCACGTTGTGAAAGCGCCAGTCCCTGGAAAGTGCTGAGTCTGATCAACCTGCAGTGTGAGAGGCTCCTCCATCACAGTGATGTAGAGGAGCCATTATTAGGTCATTCAGTATACAAAGCATCGACGGAAATAGCAGATATAACAGACCAGGGATTTGGAGGTGACTGCGTAAGTGTCGAATGTGCTTTGAGACCATCTCTTTGTATCTATGAAAGACAAGAAATCCCAAACTGTGTGAGTCCTGTAGACGATGTGAGAGACTGCAGTGGAGGAGCCTGTAGTTATAAACGCTGTGTGAAAAACTCCAAAGTGGTCTGTTGTGTTCTGCCACAGACAGCTGAAAAGACAGACACTATTAGACCAGAGCTGGTGGAGGAAAATACTACAGCGTCTCCTCAACATCACCACACAGACAATGGGCAGGACAAGTTCAGTGTTAACAGACGCTTTGAGTGGAACCAGGAGTTTAAGAAGGAGTGTTTCTCTTGTCGACAGGTCATTTTAAATGTACCCCTCTCTGAAAATGCTTTGTCACAAACCCGCGTACCCAATCCATCCCTTAATAATGGGTATGATTTAGATGACGATGCAAATCTGTCAAAGCCAGCGCTAACGCTAGATCACAATGGAAACCTTACAGAGTCCCCATATGACACCCAGCTGCCCCATCCGACCTCCATCCTGCCTTCTTCACAGTCAGCATCACTCTTATTTTGCGCTGCAGGGAACTGTCACTCACTCTCAAAACAAAATCACAAAATCACAGCATCGAAACCAGAATGTACAGATGCTCCCATTGAGGAAAAATCGCTTCCAGCTGCACAACAGAAATCCTCAAGCTGTAATAGAGAAACCAACCCCTCACCTTCAGCATTATCACGACCAGAACTTAGGTCAGTGCTAAAGGAGGAAATTCCTCCTCCAACTAGCCAGCAGTGGAGAACCAAGACTCCTAGAAAACAACCTCATCCCAGCCGGAGTGTTGATATCCAAGACCCAGACTTCCAGGGAGTGACGTTCAGGATGGACACGGAGCTGGATGACAGTAGGGAACAGTGTCGGCTCCTCATAACTTCGAAGTACAGGTAGTGACAGATTCATTACGTTTTCTGCTTGTGAATTTAGGAAACAGTGATCATAAGTTAAATTCATACATATTATTGGTGTGTGCTGCTTGTGTATCCATCGCAGCAAGGAGCTCTGCAAGAGTGTAAGAAAACCGAGGCTGAGAACTCGGACATCCCAGAAATCCCTTAAAACTAGCAGCTCGGATGAGGAGAGTGACCTGACGACCAATGTTTCCAGTAGGTAACACTCGAGTACCTGCACCGTTCAGTGAAGCTGATTTCAGTTTATGTGGACATTTTTACAGAAGTGTGGAGTCCCTGCAAATTAAACTGTTAATCTCATTAATAATTTATATATGAATCATGCTAAGTTAAGTCAATTTTATTAACAGTATAGTGGCCAAAATCACGTTTGTCTCAGAAATCTTTAAAATCTGTATAACATAGGCCTACTCTATATCTTAAGCCCACACAATAAAATGTTAAGAAGAGAAATAAAAGGGCAAACTTCAGGAAGAGATAATAAAATACATGATATAAACTATATAACTGTAATAATTTAAGCAGTTTCAGATACAAGTACAAATAAAAATGCTGCCATGTTATGTGTTAAGCATTACTCTATAATTTAAAAAAAGTCATGTCAATGTTTGTCTTTGCATGAAATGCCCATTTTCTCCACTAGAGGACGCTAACACCACATTAAAGCATGACAGCTTCACTCAGGACAGGTGGTGTACATTTGATAGTATTTACATAAACTTCTGTGTAAACATCCTAAGATCCATATATAATAAAAAATTCAACATGTTTTGACTCATTTCCACTGGCAGCACCAACATATCTCTCAACGATTTTCAAATGATTAGCAGTGATGAGCAACTCTCCTCACATTTTAACAAAACTTCTCAATGAAATATGAAATGAAGATATACAGCCTTGTTGTGTTCTGTGAGTTATTAACAGGAAAATGCAAAGTATACATAGGAATATATAGTAAATAATAAATAAATAAAATCTCCCCTTTAGGTACAATTGTTTTTAGTCTTTTTTGTTGTTGTTGTCATAAAATGACATTAAAATGCAGAACTTTAAGAGGTCACACAGTAGTATTAATCTTATCACTGAAATGTAGAGTCCATTGAATCACATGCACTAGATATAAAACGTTCCTTGTTTTAAAATAACAGTAACTAAAAATATGTTTCTTTCTGATTCACAAGAGGGTAAAGTCTGTGCATCATGCTGCACTAGGAAGACCCCCATGTGGAGGGATGCAGAGGACGGGACCCCACTGTGTAATGCTTGTGGAATAAGGTAGCTCCCATTAACACAAAACGCATACATGAAGCTGTGTTAAAGGCCTGATCTGTTAGATCAATATGGGAGCCTAATGCTACTTTTAAATGTAATGAAATCTAATCCTGAAGGTCCAGTGTGTAACATTTAAGAGGCTCTATTGGCAGAAATGGAATATAATATTCATAGGTTTATTTTCATTAGTGTATAATCATCTGAATATATGAATTGTGTTTTCGATAGCTTAGAATGACTCGTTTTATGTACAGACATTGCAGGTCGCCTTCAGTGGAGTCCATCATGTTGAATTGTCATGTTTCTACAGTAGCCCAGAACAGACAAACCAAACACTGGTTGTAGACAGCGCCTTTGGCCTTTGGGCTTTTTTCACAAAGTTTCTAATTTCTTCAACACACTTCACAGCCTTTTGTCATTCCCAGGTTTTCAAATACAGCTGTGTTTATTTAGTTTTAATCTGAAGATTTATTATCCATATGGTCAAGGATTTTTTAAAGTTATTTCAAATGGTTACAAGCAAATTATGTTTTGTGTAAAACTAGTTAAAAAGTGTAATTCCTATAACACATAAAGAATTGGACTGCATTTGACAGTATATAACTTTTTCCAGATGTTGTTTGGTTTTCCTGTCATGTTTTTCAGAAGTTTATTTTGTCTGTCAATAGCCACCAGTAAGGACAATTATATGGATTAGAACCAACTCTATAAAATTGCTAAGTACAGACTCATGGGCAGCCACAAATGCCGAAATGGATTAAGGGTTTAAAGCGTAACACTTCAACAGCTCTGCTGTTGGTTCATTGTCACCATTGCTTTTTATTAGTGGAAAGCTGAAAGTCAAACATGTTTTACTTCTCTACAGTTTCTTCTGTTGTATTGATATATATATAATATTCATCGTCTGTACTCACAGAAGTGAGATGTTACTCAAACCTAACACAAACACCATTGCAACAATTAACCTGACTATATGAAGCACTTAGTGTGTTGATTGCCTTTTGTTTTTTTTCTCTCATAATCTTAGCCTGCAGAAATAAACACCATCTTGCTTCTGAAAAGAGGAATAATGCTGTATCAGTGTTGCAGTGACCCTAAACTGGGACATTTCAAATATACATGTCATAGATAAATACTATTTTTCATAAAAATACCTGATTGTTAAGAAGAAAGACCAGTCACCACTGTATTTTTTCTTCTGTCTTGACTTTTGAAGGTATAAGAAGTACAGAGTGCGCTGTGTCAACTGCTGGCATATCCCTAGGAAAGAGGGCAACTCCAGCTCATGCTGCCTTAAGTGTGGAAACTTTGTGAGGCTGACCTCAGCTCAGCGGAAACACACCACCTAGGCAACATACACAAAGCAAAGGTTTTTATGTCCACATGAGGCGAAGCTCTTCCCACACACACACACACACACACACACACACACACACTTGCTCACAACAGTTCAAGAATACACTCTCCGCTCCTGTAGGTCTTAGTCATCTACAATTCACAGCAGACGTGAATGCAAACATGGAGGAGCAGCACCAGCTTGTTACATCTTACTTGACTCTGAGTATTTAAATTAGTGTCACTGCTACAATGTTGTACCTCAGGCAGCAGCACTAATCCCCTCGATCCTCTCTACACCAGGGAAAAACAAACAGGTTAAAAACCTAAGAAGGTGAAATCTTGGAAAACTCTTCTCTGCAATCTGCATCTGCAACTGCACTGATTGTATTTGTGCTACCTGCTAAACCTGTATGTGGCAAAAGTGACAGAACTTATACAGCTGATGGGTTTTCTTTCTGGATATATTGATGAAGCACAGGCAGTCTGTAGCAGAGCTGAAAATCGTAAATCAATTTCATACTCAAGGGCTACTATAAGAAATAGACACATTCAGTGGAAAGTTAAGTCATAATTGTTGACAGTTTCATCCAAATAGCTTTACTGTTGCTTGTGTATAATGGTCAGCAGTGCCAGATGGCTGCAGTACAAAGTTATTTCTGTACAGAACCAAAAACAGCAACCTGAGCTCAGCACTGCGTTCACTGTTATTAACTGCAAAAACATTTCCTTCCCTTGACCTTGACAGCAAGACTGTCTGCCAAGTTCTGTAGATACACATTTTGTTAAATTAAGTTATTTATTTTGTTGTCTTTGTCAACATTTCTAATTGTGGTTCTTCTGTGGTGTTGTTTTTTTTTCTTGTTGTTTATTTGGGATGTTGCCTGTTTGATTGGTGGATTGATTTCTTTAGTATTGCTGTTTTCTTTCAGAAGAAAAATAATAGATTTTTGTGTGTGCATGCATCAGGTTTTGGTCTGTATTAAATTCAGTGTGAAACATCTAATTTGTTTCTTGGTTCTTTTTAGGTACAAGTAAAACCTCCACTTTCCCCTACTGCAATGTCTATAAAATAGTGTAACAGTTTGAGAAGGGAGCACATATCAGATTAAACTACACGGAGAGGTACAGGGAAGAATTGTTCATTAATGAGACTTCCCACAGTTTCCTCAGCCCACCCTGCAGTACAGGCCTGTTTGCCAAGTGGGTGGCCTCACACGAATTGATACAGTGTGGCTATTATTTCAAAACGGATTACGTCTTCCTCTTATTTGAAACAGCCAGCGAGAGAGAGAGAGTGCTGCCCCTCTCACCATGTGCCAAACCATCCAGCGTGAGGAACACTGAAGGAAATGAGCGTTGTTTAAGCCAAGAACATAAAAGATAGAAACGAGCTCAATAAAATGAATGTGCTTGCTTCATTTTTTTACGTTAAGCATATTTCAATCCGAAACAGTCTCACCTGCAGTGGTCATTTAAACATCAGCTGTAAAACATAATGAATGGTGGTGGAGAGTAACTAAGTACATTTACTCAAGTGCTGTATTTAAGTACAGTTTTGTGGTACTTGTACTTTGAGTATCGTCATGCTATGCCACTTTATATTTCTGCTTCCCAGAGGACATTTATTTGACAGCTATAGTTACTTTGCGGATTACTTTTTCCTATAAAACATTATCAGCTCAGTAAAATATGATTCATTACTATAGTTAAAAGTGGCTCTACATTGACCAAACACACTATTAAAAATATAATAATATATAGTATTGTAAACAGACTCTGCTAAGGTGCCATCTACATAAAGTTCTTTAATTTTGCTTTTGTACTCTTTCTTAAAGGACCACTGTGTAGGATTTACTGGCATTTAGACGTGAAGTTGCAGATTGCAACCAACACCTCAAAAAACTGCAGTGACTGCAAAAAACGTGAATGGTCCTAGAGCCAGTGTTAGGTTTGTCCATTCTGGGCTACTGTAGAAACATGGCAGTTCACATGGCGGCCTCTGTAGAAGAGGACCCGCTCCCTCTGTAAATAAAACCGTCTCATTCTAAGGTATAAAAATAAATAAAAAAAACGTTTATTTTCAGGTGATTATACACTAATGAAAACATACCTGTGAATATTACATTCAATTTCTGCCATAGATCCTAAATGTTACACACTGGATTTTGAACGCAGGACTTCATAAACTACTTAAGTACATAAATCTAAATACTTTCACCAATAGGCAGTACACACTGGGATACATTTTTGAGCCAGTAAACAATAGGCCTACAATAAAACATATTAATAAAATACAAAAAACATAAATATAAAATGTGAAAGAGTAAAGTAATTTGAAATAGTGAAGATTGGCATTAATGTGGCTGTATTAGCCTTTGTTATATAAATAAAGTACAGGAACCCAGTCTGAAACTCTAACCCAGACCCAATCATGTGACTATTGGTGTATAAAATAGATTTCATCTCACAGCATCATACCTCAGGTGATGAGTGGATAATTACCTCATCAATTAATATTCACTATCAGACTGTGTCATTCATAATCTGAACCTCTCATTCAGCTCTTATTGCTTCAGGTTTCCATCTGTTATTTGGCTGAAGACAGACTCTTTGCAGGAGGAGGAGGAGGAGGAGGAGGAGAAAGTTTAGACTGAGACGCTAAAAAGTCAAGGATGCAGTGAGATGCGCAACTTTTTTGTGAATGAAAGGGGAGAAGGGGGTCTGCGCCCGGGCGCCAATCTCGCCTGTTGGGGCCGCAGTGTCACCGGACCGCTCTGGACCATGACATTGGACAGCATGGACGAGGTGGACATTGACGTGGAGGGACAAACAGACTGTGATGAAGATGTGAAGACGACAGATTTCTCAGTGTTTAAGGATACTGCTGACACTCCTGAACACCGGGTTGAGGGAGGCTTCACGGTCCGGTTACAGGATGGTCCGGGCGAGAGAGCCGCCTCGGTGAAGCCCCCGTACTCTTACATCGCTCTCATCACCATGGCAATCCTCCAAAGCCCCAAAAAGAGACTCACCCTCAGTGAAATATGTGATTTTATCAGTCAGCGCTTTGCGTATTATCGGGAGAAATTCCCTGCGTGGCAAAACTCAATCCGTCACAACTTGTCTTTAAACGACTGCTTTGTCAAAATGCCCCGCGAACCTGGGAATCCTGGAAAGGGGAATTACTGGACCCTGGATCCCATGTCGGCCGATATGTTTGAAAACGGAAGTTTTCTCCGGCGGAGGAAACGCTTCAAGAGGCAGCATTTCTTTTTGGGAGCGCTGAAGGACTCCAGGGCGCAGGAGCGCAGCCGGATGCCCGTGTTTCCTCTGCTCGGAGCGCACAGGTTGGGTTCTTGTCTCCAGGGTCCTGATTTATATCACGACCTGGGCATAAGAAGTCGTTTAAGCTCCCACACTAGCTGCAGTATTCCACCTGTGAGCAGCATCATACCTGCGCTGTCCTCGCTCCTCTCCAAGAGTTTCCCCTCATGTCTAACCTTTGAACATTTGGAGCCGGGACGCTGCGCTGCGGTCCCGTCTTTTGCTCCAAACTCCTCGTTCATGCCTCACGTCTCGCTGCACGGAATGATACCCGAATACCCGGTTTCTCACTTGTCTAGTTTCCCCACTGGGATCATAAAAGTGTCGTCTAATTCAGTTTAATGCAACGGTGCCCGGAAAACTGCAACGTCTTCCTCTCACCTGAGAATAAACCCATGGTACATTATGTAAATAAAAAATTACTACCGTTTATAATGAAGTCAAAGCTTGTGAACATTCAGCAATTTGTTTTCTTGAGGCAAATGTTCTTGAATATCTGATATTTTACAGTTTTTAATATGTTTGTAATAAAACGTGATTGAATTTACAGTCTGTGCAATTTGAATTAACATCACGGGGTTTATCATTAGACATCAAACAATGTAGCCCTTGTAGACATATCGTTTAAGTTTAGATTAAGCTCTACTGTTGTAGTGTTTTTCTTTTTTGGGGGCCAAATTCATTGACTAGATTTAATTGAAAGATTTGTGTGAATTGAAACGTATTAGAGTAAAATGTTTCTTTCAAGAATCACAAAAATAAAAAAATATAACAGTTTCATATTTTTAAAAGAATTCAACAAAACTAATTATATAACAGCAATGATAATAACAGAGCATAAGTGGCAAAAGAAGGGCTTTTATTTTATAAGATAAGGAGAAAGAAATACTATTCTAATGATGAATAAAAACTAGCCACCAACAATCCAAGCTCTTAAGGTGTTATCACTGTATCCGATAGGTTGTCCGGCTGGAGAAAAGAAATGGAAATCGCTCATATGTGCCAATGTCGCTGCGTTGTTTCGCTGCGGATGAAGAATCAGGTTTTAGAGTAGATGTCAACACAAGAGGTCACAAAATATCTGAGCAATGAGCACATGTTCTCCCCCCTCCGTTGTTTATCGATTGTCCGTTTGTGTGTGTGTTTTCTGACACATCGTGTTTGATTTAAGGCGAAACAGGCCTGGTCAGTCTCTGCAGCCGACAGCAGTGTTTAGCACGAATATCAAATACATCTGATCTTCTGGTCGTCTGGTTTTATAACTGTACCGCTGGCTTTCATCGGACGTAGCCTGCTTTGTGCTGTTTGTTTTCTTACGTGGAAATATGCAGGCGCACAGACGTGCATTTAGGAATTAAATCGTTTGTTTAAGTAGCAATACCGCAAGTGAAAAAAAAACATGATAATAATTTTAATTCAATTGCAGAAAGTACTGAAAAACGTTAAAGGTAAAGTGGCCCCTTTTTCTGAGTGATGCATTTATAGTATCACCATTTAATGTTGTAGACTCTAGAGCTGTTTGTGAAGTAAGCCATTGGATAAATTAAAGACTTACTTAAATAAAAAGTTTGTATATATGTGTGTGTCTAAGAGATTATAAAAGAGTGTGAAACAGGGTGAGTATTTAGTTGCAACACTAATTTAAACAGGAATAAAAAGAACCAGTATCATGGGTAAATGAGAGCTTGGAACAAAATTTGCAGTGTCACGATTGTTAATCTGCTTTCCTGCAGTGTGGTTCCTGTTAAGCACTAATTCCTAAGAATAGGAAACCAAAACTTTACATGAAATATCTATGATGACCATGCAGTTTCTCCTATTTTTCAGTCTTAAAGTTTCACCTTTTATTCAAAAACAGAAACATGTGAAGGTGTAAGGGAAATTATTTTAGTCCATACGTTTGACGTGGTTTTACCGTTTTATGTACAGTTTTACATTTTCTTACCGTCAGTTTTTACAAGCTTGCTAAAATGTTTTGCAGTGCTGGTGCTTTAATCCAGAAGAACACTGGGTAAATGTTTCCCAGAATGTAGCTGCTGGTGTAAGTGTGATGTGGCTCATAGCAAAATCTTCTCCCGTCTGTAAACAGCTGCCTTCCACCAAAATAACCCCTCAGGGAGTAGTTTGCTTTTCCTGGCACACTCAGTCATATTTGTGTTTAATTCAGTTATAGCACACATGCACGCTAACGGTCCCGTTCCCCTCTCTGAAAAAAATAAAATCTCAATATATCCCCACGGAGTGTGGTCTATATTAAAGTCAGTCAGCGATGTGTGTGGACTGCAGCATGAGCCCCATGACAGGAAATATGATGGAGTCGTGTGTATATTTGAAGAAACAGGGACCCCTTTCCAATCCCCAAAATCTGGAATGGGGAGATGACAGAGACATGTAACAGCAGAGCCGTGCACAAGCTCACCATTTATCCACGTCTGTGTAAAAAGAGAAGGACTGAGAGTGGAATGAGGTTAATGCAAAAGTATGGATGAAAGTTAGTTATGACAAAAACTTGCTCATGTTGTCAAATTTTGAGATATAAAGTCAACATTTTAAATTTCTGTCACGTCATTTTGACTTACCATGAGCATTTATTTAAATCATAACCAACATTTTGTATATTTTGGTGGAAACAGGCTTCCATACAAAGCTTGAAAAAAGTAAGTGTAACTTAGGAAACAGGAAATCAGACAAATGACAGATGAATATGAGGTCAAGGTGACACGGCCACGATCATCATTATTTGGTAGATCCTCTGCCCTCTTTCAGAGGTCTAGATGTGTGTTAGGGACAAATGTGTCCGATTAAACACTCAGGGCTTGAAATAAAACCAAAGCAGAGAGCTGGAGACATGATGTAATCACCCATTAACTGATCCCACACTTTTGATAATTTGTCTTTGTGTGTGAGTGAAGGGGCTCACATGTGTTTGCCCATTTCACATCTCCCCAAAAGAGCTGCAGTTTCCTGGTCAACAACCGACACACAGAGGTGGACCAAGAGCAAACACCAGGAGCGCTACAGGCTCAGTGACGTTCTTTGATGAAGGGACATTTGGTTTCAGTTATTCTTTTTTTTTATTCTCCTGCAACTGGATCTTGGGATTTGTGCTTTTTTCTTGCCATCTTTCTCGCCTTGTACCACCTGAACTCTTTACATGAGCTAAAGAATCATTTCACCCAAATTACAAAATACATATTTGATCACTCAGTCTATGACGTCTTGCTATACAAATATTTAAAATTTCTACTCAGTTTATTTTTTGAATAATCCACTCAGTAAAAATACTGTTTTTTTTCTGGGAGTCCTGCACACCGACATGAATTTCTTACTTTGCATTATTGTAAAGAATTTCTCCTTTTACAATTTCCTGGAAGATTCTTGTTGGCAGCACACAGGCCATGTTTATGGCATTTTATATGAAGCATTAAATGCGCTGAAATTATGCTTTCGTGTACTAATCAATATCGTGTAACAACATAACAACCTTTCCTGAATATCACCCAGTTTTGAAATCTTAGTTGCTGTTCACTGGGGGTTAAGTGTTCAAAAGTCTGATTGCCCATGGATCGAAGGTGCTTCTAAGCCGGTTTTTCCTGCTCCCCAATACCCTGTATCGCTTCCCAGAGGGCAGGAGATTGAAGAGGCCATGGCCTGGGTGGGATGGGTCAGACAGGACCTTCTTGGCCCTGTTTAGCCCTCGCGTCTTTGCAATGTCTTCCAAGGAGGTCAGAGGGCAGCCAATAATTCGCTGTGCTGATTTAATGACCCCTTGCAGGGCTTTACTGTCCTTGGCCATGCAACCTGGGTACCATATAGTGATGCAGTATGTCAACACACTCTCTATGGTGGAACGGTAGAAGGAATGCAGCAGGTGCACATCCAGGTCACATTTCCTCAGCAGTCTTAGGAAGTGTAGCCTCTGCTGCCCGTATAATTCACTCACGCAGCGCCAACATAGTGAATAATGTTGTGTTTAAGAGAGCCAACCCAAGCTGTTTATCCATTAAAAAAAAGGAGACAGAAGTTTCCTACTTGTTTCTATCGGTAAAACATTTCCCTTTCACTGATAAGTTAACTGTGTTAACTTTACATTAACTTTACAGTTTTTACATTTTATAGAAAATCCCATTCTGTTGCCAAGACATTCTGGGAAATATGCTTTTATTATTATTATTATTATTATTGTTGTTGTTATTTTTCCAAGAGCTGGATGAGAAGATCAACACCACTTTCATGTCTCATGAAGTAAGGAGCTAGAACCAGGAGACAGTTAGCTTAGCTTAGCATAAAGACTGGGAGAAAGGAGTAAAACAGCTAGCCAATACTAAAAAATCTACCACCTCTAAGCTCACAAAATAACACTTTGTTTAATCTGTACTCAAACAGAAATTTAAAAACCAAAAGTTGTAATTTTACTGGGAGTTGCATGCCATAATTATTTCTTGGCATACAGCACAGAGACTTTCTGGAGACGTGTCACTATGAGGTTGCTGCCCTCATTTTTGTAATACAGTTACAAGAAAAATATACCAGTTACGTTAGTAACCTTTAACTCCAGATTCTATAGGTGTAGCCATCAAAGCTATGGCTACTGGTTCCATTAACTAGCTGAAGTAAAAGCTGTTAGTGTGAGCCGATTGTCCAGTTTCAGTCCAACTTACACACAAGGTGAGGCTGAAGTGGGGCTCATGTGATATGTGGGTGTAGACTAAAAGTCAAGGAATGAACCCATAGTATTGGAGTGCTGCCCCTATACTCATAAATCATAGGTCATCATAGAATCTGGAATTGCAGCGCAACTTGACCAACCAACTTTATCAGTCACTCAGTAAGTCACAGACTTTCACGTTTATAGTGCAGCTCCTCGCTTTGCTGCAGTCCATCCAAAAAGAAAAACAATATTATGGAAGCTTTTTGCTTGGTGGTGAAGAAAATGATTGTACTTCTGGCCAATCTTCACTTTGATAAACAATGAAAATCACACTCAGGCATTGAACCTGGGTCGCTGCAGTAAGGACTTGACCTTAGCACATTGGGTGTGAGCTCTACCAAGTGATCTACTAGTAGCTACTGATACCCAGTAATATGTTTACTTCTCCAACACAAATCTGATGTCAGAGAAGATTCTAGTAACAGGTTTACATCGGACTATCATTGTAGTATCAGAGTGATCACAACTGTCCCAACTGAAATGTCTCGTACGTCATTTAAGATGGCCATTAGAAAAGTATAGTGACACAATGTTCAATGTTCAATAAGTTCATAAGTGCTACGATGGCTGGTCATTTTTTGTTGGTGTAACTAATGCAAAAAATTCTATTTAAAAACATAGACATAGAACAGAAACACAGAAAAGACAATTTATTTGTTAAAATCCTTTAACTTTATTTTTAATTTTTTACATTTAATAAACAACTTAAAGAGCATTGTTTAAACATCAGAAATATAAAATGTTAGAAAAGTATAACACATAATTAATGTTTTTTTTACAGTTAAAATCAAATCAAACAAAAGCAATCATTTTAGTGGATAGTGTGAGTAATTGTAAC